GAATTCAGCTACCAGTCCCTTTATCACCCTAAACGAAATTGAGTGATTACATTTCATATATATGATCTGCTGGCAGTCTTGAAATGTATTTACAAAACGAAAAAGAAATAGGATCGTTTCAAGTGCATAGGTCTGCTGATAGAAACGAAACGACAGGGGCTAATAACACATTTGCCAATACATTGGATGTATTGAATAGGGGAAACAGCTGGGTAAGAATTATTTATAATGTTGGTCCGACCTAGTTTTCGCATCTTGGCTGGAGTATCAGGGAAACCTTGTGGAGCGTAAATAGTCCTCTACCCTCTGCCATAGTATTCGCGATTAATGGCATCCGACCATTGACTCTTCTTGACAATTTCGGTCTTCATATGTACGAGAATTATTGATGCTTGAATGATAGACCTAAGATCAGATAGAATGTTGTGCAGGCTACTTACACTAGTCTGATCGGTGATTGTGCTACATTTGTTATTCCTCTCTGTTTGGTCCATTAGCACAATCAAACGAGTCTTTGCGATTACACAATCAAACTCGCACCTTTCACCGGGTGGTTTGGCCTTGCTGACTTCGGAATGAATTTATACTCGCTTATAACCCCTCAAAGCTATAATTAGTTACTTCGTTTCCTAGCTTACTCACTAAAAAAAACACGTGCAAATACTACGGATAAGATTTATTTTTTTTCGAAAAATATAGCAATATAATGATAAAACAACAGATATAAATATATATATTTATATGACAATATTATCTAATATTATAATATATATTCTAATATTTTATATAATATATTATAATATATCAAACCATTATATCCAAAGGTGCATATTGATATAGTACTATTGCAATGACAAACGGTTGTCCGTAAATGATAATAATGCTGAAACTAAAGATATAATGTATAAAAATAACAACATAACATGTAATCTTATATGGTACAGAGGCAGTATAGCAAACTCGTCGATAATAATGGCAACTACAAGTTTGCCTTATTGGCATCGATCCCAAGATAAATGTGATTTGGAAGAGGCCCGACTTGCATTTAAAGTCACATCTGCCTTGAGGCTATACGTTGCAATAGCTATTTTGACGTTGGACGCGCAAGACTTAGTTTTCAATTGAATTTGGGATGTTAGTGAGACCCAGGATAGGCTGAATCTGCAATCCGCCCCGAGCGTTAAAGCCTTTTAAGGAGGCAAGTATAGATAAAATCCGATGGCATTTTTAAGTGCCTCCATGCATTTATTCTAGGTATATTTAACTATCCGACCATAAATCACCAATCTCAAGCTCTTGCGTAATTCGGTAGATTCACAGAAAATGCCTCCTTTAATTCAGTTTTATTTTGTTATTTGTAGCATTTAAGCAAGAGCTACTTAATCTTGTAGATTTACTGTTCGCTATAGGTTTCTATGAGAATAAGATCAAGCCCTAGGGCGTCTTTTACTTGGTAATACAGACTAAATCCTATGTCTTCCTATTGTTTTTGCTGAAACTAATGGATGCCTCGTGCGCCAACTTGAACGGCGTAGTATAATCTAAAAATTGCAAAGTAGGACAAATGTGCGGTTGTCTTTAGTTGAGCTTAATGAAAGTCATCACAGTAATCCTGTCAGGTGTAGCCTCGAAGACCATGTACATTACGTTTAGCAATCCTTTTGGCATAATAAGGCAAAAGGTAATAGCAAATGTTGTTGAGCTGGATGGATTGAACGAATATGGCAGATTTGTGAATTTAATAATCACGTCATGACTAGAAGGGAATGGAGTGACTTGGAACTAGTTGGAGATGGCTGAGACTATTTTAGAGAATTTTAGAGTGCTGAGTCTTAACATGAACGTGTGGTTGCCTCACCCATTTGGAATTGGTGCATCTGGTCCTACTTTTGTGAGCTTTGTACAGGATAAGGCTCTTAGCCAACGATCGTAGGGCCAAGGATTGGAGTTCGCAGTTGAGTCCTTCTGGTTGTCTGGCGCGGATGCCTAGCGAGACTGAATCCGCTCTTAGCGCAAAGCTGTAGCGTAGCCAAAAATAAGACCCTCAAACTCAATTTTTATTGCGTCCAATTACAAATAAAAAACGCAGGGAAATCAACAAGCGCCTGAAGGACGAACAGGATGAGAAGTGTCTCCGTCGTTCCTGCTACGGCGAGGGTGACAACGATGATCAGAGCGAGGTTTTGATCGGCTTTTCTGACGCGACGACCGGGCGGCAGCGATCGCAGCGCCTCGGCCGTGCGGCTCGTCCGGTTCCGGTGTCTGTACTCTCCAGACTGCCGCAACAGCTACATTCGCGACAGTCAAGTGAAGAGTCGCTCCCAT